TGATGAGCAGGAATACTGCCAAGTGGGTTGAGGAATATGATGATAATGGCATGTGGTGCCGTGATAGAGAAGTATCTGAACAAAACGACAATTTATATTATATTCTGAATGTGGTTGATAGGTGCGAGTTGTCCAATGGGTTTAGTTTTATTAAAGAAATGCTATTGCAGTATCATAATTTCAAAATGCAATGCGCATATCAAAAATTGACAGAGAACAATGTTAAGGTATTGAGTGTCAAATGCGACGCTTTTGTCGTGGACTGTTCGGGTTTTAATAAGTTTGGTTTGAGAAAGACTCAGCAGTTGCTAGATTTTCACGATGGGATCGGTGGATGGAAATTAGCCAAGACTCACGATGAGATCCATCATACAGGAAAGCAGTTGTATGAACAGAAGAAGTGTGAATATGTTGATATCCCGATTGTCAAAAGTAAGAGAGTTAACATCATTAATGAGTATGATGAAAATGAATTGGTTGAACTTGTTGAGAAATATAGGTGCTTGATGATCAAGGCCAAATTCGCAGGAGCAGGGAAGTCCACCATCTGCAAGAACATGGAGAGACTCAAGGGTTATAAAGTGTTGTTCGTGGTTCCTACCAATAATCTGGGTTTGGAGTGCGAAGTGGAAAGCGTCACTGTAAATAAATTCTTCGGTATAGCAGTCAATGACGAGAAGCTAGATAAATACGACCATTCGGTGTTTGATGTCATTGTGTTTGATGAGATTTGTTTTAATAATACCTTTGTATTGGCAAAAATCAAGGGCTTTGTTGAGCAGTTCAAGGACAGTAAAATAATGTTGGCAACCGGTGACGCCAAGCAGTTGAGCCCCATAAAAGCACTGACTAACACTAAGAAACACGAGAGTTATATGAATGAATGTATTGACAGCATTTTTCCTCATCATTTGTTTTTGGAAGAGTGCAAGCGATTGAAGACTCAGGAGGACAAGGATAAACTTAAAAGCATTTATGCCGACATCTTTGAGCGTGAGTTGTCTCTACATGATGTCATCATTCAGTATTTTAAATATACTGATGACATCACAGGAACAGAAAGCAATGTCGCATATTTAAATAACACTTGTAGAGAGGTTTCAAGGCAGATCAGGAAACGACAGGGCAAACAAAATGAGTTTGAAGTCGGCGAGATCATGATATGCAGAGAGTATAGGAAGACAAAAACCTATAAGTTAAATGTGAATTTTAGGTATGAGATAATTAATATTTCCGATCCTTGGATTACCATTGCTAATATCAAAACACGAGAAGAGATTACATTACATTTTGGTATCTTGAGAAGTCATTTTATCTTTGCCTTCTGTTATACTTGTCATTCTGTTCAGGGGTGTTCCATTGATGACGATGTCACCATTTTTGATTGGAACCATCATCTGATAACTCGCGAGTGGCTTTGGACGGGAATCACTCGGGCAAGGGATTTAAACAGAGTAACATTTTACAAATACAGTAGTGATTTAAATGAAGAGTTTAACGCAAAATGCATTATGAATTATTTTGATAGAAAGGTGTTAGCATACAAGGAACAGGATAGGAAAAATGGCTTTGGTATTCCAAAAGAAAATTATGTAGATGCCGAATGGTTGAAGGACAATGTCAACGGAAAGTGTGCAAATTGTGGCTGTGGCTTCGTGTTGTCAATGGATTCTGGCAATATAAACTCTAATTTGACATGTCAAAGGTTGTGCAATGATCTTCCCCATACAAAGGATAATGTCATTGCCTTCTGTGCTTCTTGTAATAGATGCTTCAGTGATAAAATAACATATTGGTATTTATTTTATAGTGTTATTTATATGAGCGATAAAGACAAGATTATCAGTGATATTTGTTTTGACCGGGCTGGGTTCGGTAGCGTTGCCACCACTTATAAAGATGCCAAACAGAAAGATGCAACAATCACAATGCAAAATGTTAAGGAGTGGTTTCAAGAGAACGTGGAACGGAAAAAACAACTGTCTGGATACAATTCGTTTATTGCCCCTGATATCAACTTTGAATATCAATTGGATCTATTTTTTATATCAAAAAATGATTTAGACAATCAAACATATAGGATAGGCTTATTGCTTGTTGATGTATTTTCCCGCAAAGCCGTGGTGGTGCCCATTGCATCCAAGCAACCTGCCGACATCACGGCTGGGATCATGGAGGCATTAAACAAAATGGGAGGGAAACCCAAATTAATTTATTCGGATGATGAGGGAAGCCTGAACACCCAAGATCTTGTTGATTTTTTCAAGGACGAAGGGATCCAAAACTATAAAACACGAGGGCACCCCCATTTCGCCGAGCGTTTCATTCGCACGTTCAAGGACATGCTTTTCAAGAGGGTTGATGCAGACGAGAAAAAGGGAAAGGTTAATATATAATGGGTTGATTATATCCCCGAGATCATGCTGACATACAACAGTAAAATGGTTCATTCTGCCCACGATATGACTCCAAACGATGCCCACAAAAAGGGAAACCATCTTGAGGTCAAGATGAAGCTTGAGATGAACAGAATCAAAACCCGTAAATATCCTCCTGTTAGGGTTGGCGATGAGGTCAAAATATACCGCAAAAAAGGGATTTCCGAGAAAGAAAGAACGAGCAACTGGAGCAGTGTCAAATACAAGGTTTCAAGGGTTGAAAAAAAACTTGGTCAAGATTATTATTCTGTTGAAGGGATGAACCGCCCCTACTTGAGGTCAGAGATTCTCAAAGTTTGAAAGGTCCTTGAACCATTGAATTAGTGCAAGGTTGTCCTTAGTAAGAGTGCAAGTTTTTTCTTGGAGGGGGGCAAGATTTTTCTTGCAGGCGTGCAAGGTTTTCTTGCAGGGGTGCAAGGTTTTCTTGCAGGGGTGCAAGGTTTTTTGAATGGTGTTTGTGATAATATTTGTCAATGTATGATATGTGATAATTGCAATAAAATTATAAACGAAATTGATGATATGAATATCAAATATATTAATACTAGAAATGTTAAAAATCTTGATGAAGATTTAGAAACATTTGTGTTTATTAAAATGAATAAGTTCTTGACTGAAGAAGAATTCGATAATTTATTAGATGATGGAAGTGATAATGATTTTATTTAGAAGTATTATAGCATGGTAAAAAGATTATATGGTATGTCTTTTAATAAAGAAAGAAGCATTGAATGATAATGACTTTGATTTTTTAAGTTGTGAGTATAAAGCTCACGAACTTAGATATACAGTATCACATGCAGTTCATGTAATGGGGATGTTTAGAAAAGAAGTAGGAAATAATATATATAATGAAAAAACGACTGATAAAATAATATGAAGAATTGAAGAAGAATTTTATAATGAATTAGAATAAAGTTGAACTCATAATATAATTATAACATGTAAACATTTATATGTTATAATTATAGTGTAATTTTCCCGCATAAGCCGTGGGGGTGCTTTCCTACATAGGCCTTTCCCATCCGCATATTGCCATCCATATTTTACTGGGATTGTTTTCAAGATTTGGGTTAACGGTTTTAATTCTCCCTTTTCCATTGGTTAACCATTTTTCGGGGCGAACATAGGGTTGTTTTGGCGGCTGAACCTTGGACATTCCTACTTAAAGAAAAGGCTACTTACTAAAACATGGAGAAGAACATGTGTACGAGATGCAGGAATGAAAAGGGAATGGAAGAATTTGTGTATGGATTGAAGTCATGCGACGCTTGTGTTGATCAAAAACGTGACTACCGCAAACGGACAGTTGAGAAGAACAAGGAGTATAACAAGAGTTACAGGGAAGCCAACAGAGAAAAAGTGCAATGTCCACTATGTGGAGTTGAGATTACCAAATACAAGATGAAGCAACATGAGGCGACGCAAGGTCACAAGGAAAAGCTACTGGAAAATAACTAGACTAGGTTGACGATTAGAATATTCCATTTTTCTAATGGTTAACCAACTCGAGGGCGTGAATTGATTGAAAAATGCTATTGTTTATTAGACAGTTTGAATTTATTCGTTTTGGTTAAGGGTTGCAGTTTGGATCATGAAGTGGAAAAATGATATTTTGATGGTTGGAAGTTGAGGGTGAGCATTTGTTGGTATGTGGATTGACTTTTTTGAATGACATTTTTGAGGAGGTGTGAATTAGTGTGTAGTTAGGATTGTTGTTTTGAATGAGTGTAAGGGTTGGGTTAAAGGTTGGACAAATTAGGCTAAAAATGAAGTTGATGATGAGAATACTGATTTTTCTCATGATTAACTTAGTAGGTGTTTCAATTTGGAGGTTGAAAATGGGGTGATTTGGTATGTGTGTTTAAAAATGTAGGGGGGGGTATAGGGCCAGGATGCCCCCATCTGGACGGGAGAGGCATAGTCTAACTGCGCCCCCCCCCCCCCAATCCCCCCGCCTATGTTTACTTGCTGATGTATAGCAGTTGCTTTGGTTGCTCTTGGGGTTGGCTTAGTTTTGTCGGTTTGTGGTTGTCAGTACGGGCGGGTCAGTTGTGAAAACAAAACCGCAAGGACAATGACATTATTGACAGAGTTCCTCCTTGTCATGGATGTTCTTCATACTCACGTATAAATACTGGATATTGCCACTTTTCGCGTTGGCTTTGTGTTGTCATTGCAGGAGCAGCTCAAAATACGGTTTAAGGCTCATTGAATTTGGCATGACCTTCATACTGATGCATCTTGAACACTTACTATTACTACCTTTCAACAGTTTTCCAACAATCAGGTGATGTTTAGATGTTTAAACGATGTTTAAAAAAAACAACGAGACAGGAGTTGGTTACATGTTCAGATTCGGTCGCTCGTCGTTTGATTGGCAGTTTGATGCAGTTCGGCCGCCGCAGCAATTTTGGCCGCTCAGTTTTGCTTCGTCCGCCATGTTGTGCCCCCGCTGCTCGGTCGTTCAGCAGAAGCGCAACTGGCGGCCAATGGAGGTCTTCTGACCCCTACATTCATGGAAATTTGGGCTGTAAGCAGTGCGGGTGTGCTTCTGACGAGGAGATTGACACGCACTTGGCGCGGGTGGGCAAGCTGCTGTCTTTTGCGGCGCCGCACCAAGGCTGGCTTGACTCTTGGATGGAGCGCTGGACCGATTTGGGGCGCAGCACCATCAAGTGGTTGAGCCACCATGGGACGCTGCAGTGCCGACCTGGGGCAGAAGCAGAAGACCCGGGCACCTTGCCACCATTGCTTGTGATACGTTGCATTTGACTTGTTTGTTGTGCGTCTTGCTTCGGGCTGTTTCCATTGTAGTTTTTTTGTGTCGCCCCCTGACTGAGGCAACGCCGCTTTGGCGCTCGCTCTGCGCCTCATTTGGCCCACGCACGGGCGGTGGTTGACCAATGCGGTGACGGCCGGCGACTACATCGAGGCGATTTTCGGGGTGACGAACATCGTCGGCACTTGGACCGGGTTTTCGCGCTTCGTGGCCCTGATGGTGATGAACCTGCGGTTCCTGGTGTGGTCGCTGCCCTTCACCACGTCGCAGCTCCTGCAGAAGATTTGGACCTACTCCGACCTCTGCGAGATGGTGAAGAGCGTCGACCTTGCGACTCGCCGCCGGGCTGCTGCCGCTGGTTGGTGACCTACTCCGACCTCTGCGGCGAGATGGCAGTCGACCTTGCGACTCGCCGCCGGGCTGCTGCCGCTGGTTGGTGAGTGTTGGCTGAGCTGGCGGCGGTGCTTTTCGACTCGCCGCCGGGCTGCTGCCGCTGGTTGGCATTGGTGAGTGTTGGGTGAGCTGGCGGCGGTGTTTTTCGGTCAATCAATGCATTATTAAATAGACAGTCTGGGGGAATTTTATTTCAAGAGGATGACATGTGGAGTGAAACTTGACCCCATTTCAAATTTCTGGAGTACACCAAACAAACATCTGGCCCACCAAAAGAAACCATACTTGGTCCACCCTCCCCACGCATCTAAGATCTACCAATGAACAAAATAGAAATTGACAAATAATTGATTGACCGCTTAGTTAGCTACGGAATCCACCGGTCAAAAACTGACCGCTTAGGCTTAGTTAGCTACGGAATCCACCGGTCAAAGACTGGTATTAATGTCGGAATCGTCAGCTGAGAAACTTGCCCGGCGAGACCATCGGCAACCCTGCGCGACAGCGCCTTGAAAGGAAAACATCGGCGGACTTGTCAAACATTTGCAGTTAGACATGCAATTCATGTAGCAAATAAAAAGAGGGAATGGAAAGAATTGATGCACTTTTATCAGGCAGCCCTGCCCTGCCAAATTTTGCCAAATTTTGAAACTAAGGTAATCGTTGAACCCCTCGTGACTGTGCGTGTTTTGTGGTGGGCGCTTCAAATTTTGCAGCAAGTTGTCCAAGTCGTTGAAGGCGTTGTCGATTTGCGTCTGGACGATTCAAGGCAATTGCCGCGACTTAGACTTGGCCAGCACTAAGCCGCCCGTCGAGTTCCATCCGGGCGGCTCAGGGCTTGTCAAGACTAAGACTTGGCATTGGCCAGTCCGGGCGATTCAAGGCTTGCCAAGCCTTGGCCAGCCCTAAGTCGCCCGTCGAATTTACATCCGGGCGACTCAGGGCTTGCCAAGCCTTGGCTAAGTCGGTCGAATTGAAGTTAGGCGATTCAGGGCTTGTCAAGCCAGCCCTAAGTCACCCGTCGATTTGCATCCGGGCGACTCAGGGCTTAGCTTGTCAAGCCTTGAACTTAACCAGCAGTAATCGCCTGTCGGATTAAATTCGTCTAAATTTAGTCACTCCCTGGCCAAGCCTGACTGGACGCAACAGACAGTGCGTGTCCGCGTGTGTGCCCTCCATGGCTGCGAGCGATGACTCACCGGGGGCATGGGGAATTTTGAATCACGTAGCAATTTGGCCAACAGTCCCAGCGCAGCAGGTTCACCAGAGGGCGCAGTCAGTTGCCACAAGTCTCGCGATGGAGCTGGAATGCGACTTGGCATTCGCCAAGGCCGACGAGTTCAGCGTGGAGATCGTCAAGGCGGCTAAGAGTGAGAAGCCAACGGCGAAAAACAATGAGATGAAGCTGATCCAGGACGAGGAGGACAGCGGCAGCAACGCTGCAGTCTTTGCGGCATTATGGCGGAGAAGGCGCAAGACGTGGGAGAGCACGTATCTGGTGGGTAGCTGCTTGCCAAAAGACATTTCCTTTCCTTCCGCAGCAGCTGCAAAGCTGGCCAAGCAACCCTGGGTTCTGGGGACTACAACCGGCTGCGGCTGCCTCCCATGCAGCAAAGCAGGTCTCTCTAGCGACTGGGCCCGTGGAACTGCAGGCCTTGTCAAAGGCTTTCGCGCCTGGTTCTTGCACAAACACCAGGAATCGCACAACCACGTGAACGCGGTCAAGCAAATGCTCTGCATCGGCGACGGCGGCGGCGCTGGCGAGGCGATGGCGCTGTCAGAGTTTGAGGCCTTGCTGAAGAATCTGCAGGGCGGACGCTCGCAACGAGGAGACTCAATGTCATTAATTTGATGTTTCTCGCAATGTGCTTTCCTCTTTTGACCGATGAAAACATTGCATCTGAGAGTCCGGGTTAATTAAAATTAAGTCGGCTGAGGCTGTTCAAGCTTTGAAGGGCAATGCTCTGACAAGACTTCGCTGATGACGTGGTGCCTGCACGAGGCAATCACGCAAGCGGACCGGGATTTCCTCAAGACTTGCGAGACCCGAGACCGTCAGCTTGACAAGAGATGGAAGGCGCCAGCGGTTGCTAATCCGGTTTGGAGGCTGCAACGACGCTTTGGCCACACGTTAGCAAACATTTGTCGATTGCTTTGTCTCCATCATGTCATTGGTCATCTGTCAAAGTTCCCACAGCACGGCCCCTCGACCTTACAATCACACATGATCGAAACAGAGACTACTAAATTTAGTAGTTGCCGTTTCGATCAGTGTTGTGGGAACTTTGAATTGCTTGGCTTTGCTTGACGATTGCCAGGACAAGTTCCAGATCCGGTACGGGGTTCTTGGTCTGGCACGCGGGTGTGGCGAAGCCATTGCAGAAATAGCCGCCTGACTCTATTATCAGCATGTTTTTCAGACCCAGTGTCGTTGCCGCCATTCCCTTATAATAAACCTTGACAACCTGTCGGGATTGCTGCCTGTTGCCGCTCAGTTTGCCAAGGCTCAGGGGACACGAAAGGTGCTGCGTGACTTCTGCACGAAGTTCCATGAGCCTCCCAGATCCTACGCTGGACCCCCGCCAGAATTCGACGAGAACCTCTACGACATGCTGCGGCAACGCATCTAAATCATCTTGGCGGACGCTGCTTCTAATGAGATTGGGGCATCCAACGTGAACCGCGGGCGCCGAGACCCTCGCATCGAGGCGGACGACGCTGACATCTTGCTGCCAGGTTTGAAGCTGGTCGCGCGTGACCACGCCCACGCCTTCCGCCGTGTGCTGAAGCGACCTTTCCATTGCAGCAGTTACTTGGGCACCCTGATGGCGGAGCATGTTTTGGGAAAGAAGTCGATTGTGCAAGTGATCGACAGGTCCTTTGTCTTCAGGCAATGGTTTCAGGAGGACGTTGAGAAGCATCACGGGACCATCAGCAACTTGAAATCAGCGACTTGTCGTCTCAAAAAGCAAGACTTTATTAACACCGTTTGTCGAAGCAGCCAGGTTTCCTGTTTGGCTGACTGAGGCGAAACACCGCTTCGAGTCGCACACGACCCCGCTGTGCCGACTGATTAGCAACCTTCCTGCCAGTATGTCAGTTGCGCAACGGATCATCCAGCATCGGCAAGACGCCGTAGGCAAACATGTGAAACAATGGCTGGATGATTTCAGCAGCGAAGCGGTCCTTGCCCTGGCAATGGTAGCAGACGCTTCAGACGAATCGCTGCTTCTGATTCGCCAAGTGGACGACGAAGCGGTGGACAGCTCAGAGCTTGGGAACTACGTGCAGGGCTTCGCGGACCGCATTCAAGCCCTTTTTGCTCAGCGGCAGGCGCTGACAACAGTTGGATACACCAAGTTTGCCATGGACATGCTGTCCAAAGGCGAACTTGCGTTTTTCTCTTGTGGGCAGGCTCGGCGGCTGCAGCCTTGCGACGGGGACACGGTGGAAAGATGCCTGGATCGCATGGTCGCTTGGTCCCGCTTAGCCTTGGAAGTTCTTCAAACTGAGTTTCCGCACTACTCCGTCTTCAGCGCCTTCGGGGCCCCTGGGCTTGAACAGAACTAAACGATGATAATCTTACTTGTTTCGATGTTAGCCTGTTTATCGACCTTAAATTAGGAAGCCTTCCTCTGAGAGCTTTTCCAAGGTGTTTCCTTGAAGTCTGTGACCAAGCAGCAAACCGCTTTCCAGAGCGCCGGGGATGACAGCTGCAACAGGTTGGCCAAGTTCTTCAATGTCAGCCCTGGCGGCTTCCAGGAGCAGCTGCAGCGTTTGAGGCCCTTGGCTGAGAAGCGCTACAGGGAGACCAACACGACGTGCAAGGATGCGTGGATGCACACAATGGCAGCGACGCAGCGGCGGAAGTCATTGAAGGACTTTTAGTTGTGGGATAAAATTACAGTCCACTTTTTCGACAGGCGGGTCCCGTCCCCGCCCAGGAGTCCTATCCAGCAGATGACCTGGCCATCGTCGTGCGCCGGTATCTGGCTTGGCAAGCATCGTCCAGCGGCGTGGAGCAGAACTTTGCAAAGGGCGAGCGGAACAACGCCACTGGCCATTCCCAAGCATCCGCGTCGTACGATGCAAGGGCCATGAAGATATTGTTGGCGCCACTAAGCCCCCCGGATTTCAAGGTCATTGTCACGAACGCGGCGGAACTCTATGCAACTTGCCGCTCCGGCGCCCTGGCGTGATTCCACTTGCCACTTTAATATGTTTTAACACCGTTTGTTTTTTTGCTGGTTTTCGTGTGTGTTTAAGAACATTGACTTGTTCGCCTGGCCAACGTCATTATCATCTCACTTGTCCGAGGCGCAAGCCGCAAGCGGACGCAGGAGCGGATTGACAAGAATGTGAAGCGCGCCAAGCAGGAGGGGACAGAAGCAGCGTTTATCAGATCCAGGCGGGACAGTGTTGCAAACGCAACACCCTCTTTGAACATGGCCGACCTGGCCTTCGACATGGACGAGCACCCGGCCACAAATGACAAAGTGTCTGAGTACTGGACTGAGAGTTACGAGGTTGAGTACCAGTTCCAAAAGTCAAAGCAAACACATTACAAGGTGGACGGCGTCCTGGACGGCCTCATTGATCAAAATGCAGTGGACCAAGAAACTATGGAGACAGCAGCCAAAGCTGAGCGCGACGCGGACAAGGGGCATATCAGAGACAGGCTCTCCAAGGATGCTTTGCAGATGCGGCTTAACGGCTCCATGGATTGGGAAAAGATTCAAGGCAGCAAGGCTTGGCTGGACCCCGCCATCTCTGTTGCAGACTTGCAAGTGGCAATGAGCGCCCGAAATTTGGTCAAAACCACGGAGCGATTGGAGGCAGACATTTTCATTGTCAACGACGCTGGCAATTTGCCGGAGAGGGTGAAATTGATGGCTGCCTTGCTTGGTCGGCAGATCATGGATGTCTGCCTCCTGGAAGGCAAGAAAGGGATCCTTCTGAAGTTTCAGCCTGCCTCGCAGACGCGGCGTCAGAAGGTCTTCTTTTCCACAAAGTTCCGTGAGAGCCACGCCCAATTCATTAAGCCGATCAAGGACATTGTGAACCGTCCCGGAAGTAAATGGAAGCTCGCAGCCGTTGGGGCAGACGCAACCATGATCTTGGCAACCTCGGCTGAAGTTGGACGAGCTGCTGTTCTCAGTGGAAATTCGCAGGGTTATCTCAGCAAGGCGAGCTTTCTGGAAAACATTTCCAGGCTTGACTTGCGCGCTTCGGGTTTTTACACGCCATAGTAGCGTAATCGCTGGCAAGGGGAAGTTGCCATCTACGTAGGGGCTGCCTAAGCGCATGGCAGAGACTAGTGCTGATCGAGTTGAAACAACCCTGGGCATCCTTTCTGCAATGCTGAGTTTCAATCTCGCCGCAAACAAAACTAAACAAGTGTTTTGAATTGACTTGACATTGATTGATTGACAGCGCTCGCGAAGCTTTCTTGGCTCTTACTAATGTGGCGGGTCCCGGCTCATCAATGATTGTGAATGGTCAATGGCAAGGCTCGTGATGGAGCTCGACCTTGCGTGCCGAAGGGTCGCGGACACAATCCGCACGCTGGCGGCAACCCGTCACGCTGTGACTTTCAGCCAGTTCCTTAGTAAGCTTGTGCGAGGGATGCGAAGTAGTTTTCACACTACTATAGACCAAGGCTTCGCCATCTTTCATGTTGAGCGCTTCATTGAGCGGAAGCTGACCGACCAAGAGGCGTTACATTGTTGGGTTTTGCCCAAGCAAGGGCCGGCAACTGGTTTAGCCTTTGTCCCGAGTCTCGCTGCAGGAACTCGCGGTGTTGACACGCATCGACGAACTGCTCGGCGAAGAAATCACGGTCAGCGAAGCCGGACTCTCAGTTACGTGTTACGCGTTAGCCTTTTTCACTGCCATGTCAGGTTCGGACTAGCTTGGCCATTGCGCCTGAGGTGCCTGCTGACGTGCAAAGGGCGCTGAAGGATGACAATGAGGCTTGCTCAATCCTAGTCACGGAATCTAGTATGAATGATGTTGCGCCAGGTCACGCAGCACCGGACTTGCGCGCGATGCATTGCAGAAGGCTGCTGCGGCCTCACTTTGAACGTCAGGTAGGGTGACGAGCTGTTGCATTGCTACTGTAAGGTCACCATTGCAAAAAGGCAGAAGAAGCCTTGCCCTCAGCAAAACTTGAGTGACGAGCGCCATCGGGGGGTCTCCCAACTGACAAAGGCAAGCGCCAGTGAGCAGACGGACGCTAGCTAGATCTAGCTAGACTTTGGCAATCCAGGGCACAGGAGCTGGAAAACGCACTTTGCGCGCGCAGTGCTGTCTTGCTGGCAATTCGTGAACGCACTCCGTGTGAATTTGAGTCTTGGAATTTTAGGGTCAAGCGCGAGCTCATGTCATTTCCAAGGTTTATTCCAACACTTAATGATGTTGCTTTGGTTAACACTTGATTACAATTATGATTATTTCATATCCGCTTGCCAATTTTTTCAGAACGCAACCTGCGCGGGCGGCATGGCGACGACGGACAATGACAAGGGCGAGGATCTGATCCAGGCCACTCTGGCCAAAAAGGGCTACACCGAGGTGTCCAAGCTGGGCGAAGGTGGCATGGGAGTGGTCTACAAGTGCCGCCACGCCGACGGGGGCCTCCGCGTCTTGAAGTTCTCGCGCGGGGACTTCGAATCCAGCGAGGAGGGCCAGGCACTCCTGGAGGAGGGCAACCAGATGAGGCAGCTAAGGCACCCGAACCTGGTTCAGATCTGGCAGTTGATTATGACCCCGACCTTGGTCATGCTGGAGCTGGAGTTCCTCGCGGGGGGCGACCTACACTGTCGGATCCACGACCCCCAGGGGCGGCCGATCTCCAGCAAGATCCTCATGATTCGCGCTTAGTCATTGCTTTCCGGGTGAACACTGGCTAACAAGTCTCTGACACTGAGGAAGTGGATGCGCGAATGCATGAGCGGGCTCTACCACATGCACCGAGCCTTAGTAGTCTTAGTCTATTAGTCTAAGACTTGCTGGGGCGCGTGTGGTTCAAGCTGATTACTGATCAACGACGACTGTTGTTTGAACTGTTTTCCGCATCTAAGCTGTCACCGAACAATGACATGATTCAAACAGTTTTCTGTGTTTGTGATATCGGCGAATCCAGTGCTACTAAGGAGCCAAGCTTATGCATTGCGACATAAAGCCGGCCAACATCCTCCTGACGGAGACCCAGACCGCGAAGATCGCAGACTTCGGCCTGGTCTACAAGTTGGGGGACACAGACACTTGGATGCACGTTAGCTTAGCAGAAACATTTAATGTTGTTGTTTCAATTCAGGGCTTTGCCAGGCATAGCAGGCTGAGGCGTTTCCTGTCAGTCGTGGCAAGCCCTGAGTTGCCCGAATTGTCGTCGGGCGACTCAGGGCTGCCAGGCTGAGGGCTGATCCTGCGGCTGCATTTAATTTCCTTTCAAATTCAGTCCTGGCAAGCCCTGAGTTGCCCGAGTCTGATTGTCATCGGGTGACTCAGGGCTTACCGAGGGCCGGTCGGCAGCTGCGCTCCCCTCTTACCTGGCAAGCCCTGAATTGCCCGAGTTGTCATCGGGCGACTCAGGGCTTACTCAGGCTGAGGGCGGGTCGGCAGCTGCATTGCCTCTTAGTCCTGGCAAGCCCTGACGAGTCTGAGTTGCCCAAGTTGTCATTGTCGGGCAGGCAACTCAGGGCTTACTTAGTTAGGCTGAGGGCTGGTCGGCAGCTGAGCGTTCACTCTTAGTCCTGGCAATCCCTGAGTTGCCCGACAAGCCCCAAATTGACTGACAGATGAGTTGATTTGCCGTTATGATGTGTTCAGACAGAGGGAACTGCTTTCAAATTCAAGACGCTGGCTCAGGCGCCCTTCCGCGGAACCATGTGTCACATGCCCGCCGACGAGGTCTTATCCTTCACACTGACTCCATGGACGGACCTCTACGGGCTAGGGGGGGCGACGCTGTTTGAGGCCGTTGAGAAGCGTCCAATGATGCCAAGCTATTTTGGTTCGAGCCTTCTCGGGGCGTAGTTTGGGTGCGGCATGGGAGTGCTGTAGCTGATTCGGACCATTTCAGATACACGGTTTGTGGCGAGCACTATCTATTGGCGATTGCAACTGATTGGTCTCCCTTCGGATATTTGGCTTTGTATTTGGGGTTCAGCATGGCCATCTTTCGGCAGGAAGACTATGAGGGCTTGGGGTGCATCTCATGTGGCTTGCAGCCATTGATATGCGGGTTTGCGGAGGTGGTACAGATGAGGCTGGAGGAGAAGGAGCTGATCTTTGACCTGAGCAGACATGTTTTGGCAGAAGGCGTCTTGCCCTTTGAATGTGCTTGTGGAGGAGAGGCCAGATTGCATGGTGTTTTGCCGCTTGCAGAACCTTGGGAACAAATGAACAGGCGTCAGATGTGTGCTGAGGTAATCCGGTGGTGTTGGGTTTCAGGCAATCCGCTGTGCTTGAGAAAGGTGGCTTTTGCCAGACATGCACAGACTCGTTTTGTGGTGCCAACAGATGACATGGAGTTTATTCCATATGGGTCAAGTGCACGAAGCCCGGTGCTCTATGCGGAGATTTTCTGTGGTGGTTTTTCGGGATGGACGAGAGCTGCTACATTTCTGGCATCTCGAGCATATCCAGGACGGGTGGTATTTGCTTTGGACAAGGACCGAGAGGTTTTCAATGTTCATTGCATGAATTTCGCTTGCAGAGAGATTGAGGAGAGTGGGTTTGCCATGAATGAGATTGGGAACAAGATTGGATGTTGCGCATGCATCTCAAGGTTTGAACCTCTTTGTGCTGCAGGCTTGCAAGGGGTGACAGCATGGTTGTGCTCACCACCGTGCCCGGCCTTTTCCAAAGGAGGCTCTGATGGTGGCAAAGGCTGGAGTCACCCGGATGCCCTCCCCTTCAAATGTCTCTTTGGCAAGATGCGTTTGAGCCGACCCTGGATCGTGTGCTTGGAGAATGTCCCACCACTCAAGACTGATGCCCTGTTTTACAATGAACTTGCTGCATGGTGTGAGTGGTCGGGGTATCACATCCACTGGGATGCAGTTACGTCACTTGGTGGCTACAGTACTGTGGATCGATGCAGATTTTTGGCAGTGCTGCAGAGAAAGGAAGGACCTTTGCTTGACAAAGCTGCTTTTCAAATTCCGCATCGGGTGAAGCAGGGAATGGCAGGTGATCGAGTTTGGTGTACGCTCCCCAGAGACCTGGTTGCTCAACATACACTGGATCCTGAAACCAAGGCCATGTATTTCTGCAGGGAGTACTTGCCCGCTGATGTCAGGAACTCACCTGAGATGCTGATGGAAAGGTACATCGCGAGGTACCGCACCTTGACGCCAGAGGACAGGGTTCCGGGTGGTACAGTCATGGCAAGCTATGGCAACCAGCATTGCTTGTCTGAAAGGGCGCTCAAACAGAAAGGCATCTTTGGCAAGCTCGTGAAGATCAGCCCAGATGCAGAGGACTTCAGATGGCTCAGTGCTGGTGAGATTGCTTTGGCCCTTGGGATCACGACCCCTTGCTGGTTTCCGAACAATGCACGGCTTGCACTTCATGTTTTGGGTAACAGCATGGCAGAACAGCATGCAATCCTGACGCTGCAGGTGCTTTTGAAGTCAATGGGAACGTGGCCAAAATGGATCCCTCTTCATCAGACGTGGAATGAATTTTGGGAGCTTCGTTACCGGGCGGATGTGTGCAAGATTGTTTCCAGGGACAATGGCTGGGTGATCTTCAGGAAAACACCTTTGATGTCTCCGATCCTGACTGAATCCTACAAGCAGATGGTGGTCATTTGCGGAGAGCAGACTTTCTTCACTTGTGTTGCTGGTGAGGTTGATTGGAGCGGGATTCTGACAAATCTTGCAGGCAATCGACTTGCACACCTTCAGGTGTTCGAGAATACACACTGCTCTCTTCATCGTGGAGATACAGGCCCGGTGCTGCAAGTTTGGACCTGCAATTGCATGACAGAACACCTGGTTGTCTTTGAGGGTGATGAGCTGCAATCAGATGTGTCAGTGCATTCAAGCTGCCCTGCGAACCAAGACATGCAGTATGAGACTGACAGTGAATCAGTGAGTGATGATGGCAATCACCGAAGTGGCAGCCTCAAGGTGCAGGTCATGAATGGAAATGCGGAATTTGCGAACTTCAACTTTCCGGCACCTATTTCAAGTTTCCGATTTGCATGGCATTTCAATGAGTTCTTGAGGCAGATGAATGT